AATAGAATATATATATTAACAGAATACAAATAAATTAAACCATAAAAATAGTAAAAAAAATAGTTTAAAGAAAAAAATTTATAAATATAAATATATATATATATATATATTAATAAAATAATTAGAAAATTGATAAGATAAATTATTAGTAAAAAAAAAAAAAAGAGAAAATTAATATATATTTGTGTTATTGAATAAAGGAAAATAATAAAATATATATTTTATTATATGAGGAAAATATTAATAAAATAAAGTAACAAATTAATTTATTATAACATTTTTATAGTTTAACTGTTTTTTATATATTTTTATAAAATTTTTTTTATTCCTATTTTTAGGGGTACTTTTTACTTTAATGTACATTTATGAAAATAATGATTTATAAAGTTTTTAGACGGAAGAAAACTATCTTAGTTCAATAAGATAAAGATGCATTTTAAAGAATTTTTTAGTAAAAAAAATTTACTTATATAAATGTATTTTTATTTAATATATGTTATGTGTGTTATAATATAACATATTTGAGACTTCCATTTTTGCCAAATGGTATACTTTATATATTTATTTTTAGAATATTTAATAATTTATTTGATTTATATGAATAATATAACAACACAAAAATAAAAGTTAATAAATAAAGCATTACATATTTAAACAAATTATATGAATACTATTTTTACTTATAAGTTTTATGAAGAAAGATAAAAATAAAAAAAAAAAATATGAAATATAATAAATTATATATTTATAATTTCTCAAAAAATAATTTATAATATCTTTTATTATTATCTTATATTCCAATATTAAGAACAATACATTTAAGATTTTCATTTGGCTTTCTTTTTTTTATCATTAAAATGTAACTAAAAATTTTATTTTTATTATAAAACAAATATTTAAGAAGTAAAAAAAAAAAAAAAAAAAAATAAAAAAAAAATCTGAAAATAATTTTATAAAATATTATAAATATAAAGAAAATTTAATAATGTATTTAATGAAAAAAAAAGCAAAAAAAAAAAAAATTGGAAAAAAAATTCTTAATTGAAATTTTAATATTTATAAAAAAAAAGTTCTATAAAAGAAAAATATTTTAAAATAAATAATTTATTTTAAAAGTGTATTTTTGTAAGTGTGCATTTTAATTATTTTAATTTTTGAGAACTATTATATTTTTAAATAATATTATCATTGTCATATATATATACATTCCAATGATTATTTTATGAATTTATGAAAAAAGAAAAGAAAATGATTAAAAAAGACAATATCCTTACTAAATTAAAGTGAAAAAAAAGAAAAATTGAAAATATTTAAATAGAATACTTTTAAAAAAAATACAAAAGAAGATAAAATTTGCATATTATATTTTTCTTCCGTTTTTTTTTTTTTTTTTTTTTTTTTTTTTTACTTCTAATATTCTAAAGAAAATGTAAAAAGAAGAATAGTAGTTATATTAAATGAAGAAAATACATTTCAATAATTAATTTTTTTTTTTTTTTTTTTTTTGTATAAAATGTAAAAAATGATTCGAACAAAAGGAATAATGTTTTGGTAATTTGTAAATGATATTTAAATTATTTTAGTTTTCTCTAGTTTTCCTTTTTATCTTTTTATTCATTTAAACATGAAAGAATAGAAATATTTTTATGCAATGAAACTACAGCTAAAATCATTTATTAAAAGTTATGAGAAAGGGATTTCAAAAATTATAATTAATTATAAAATTATTTAATTTGAGAATATGAAAGCATAACATTTTTATATTTACTATTTTTGTATATATAAAAGAAGGAATATGGAAGGGGTTATTTTTTATTTTTTTTTTTTTTTGAATATTTTTATATAATACTAATATAAACTTATATTAAAAGTATAGAGAAATATAGAGAAACAAGATATTATTACAGCAATATATTTTATTTATGATGAATATAGAAAAATAAATTATAGTGATAATAATTTTTAAAATATATCATTCTGGATCTATAGAAAAAAATAAAATAAAATAAATAAAATAGAAATAATTGCTATATTATTAGATATTAATTAAAGTGTAGAAGTTGAAGTTTATTTAATTAATTTATAAATATTGCAAAAGTTTTTATATAAATAACAATGATAATAAAAATATATTGGGAAAAAATAAATATATTTTTTTTTTTTTTTTAATTTTTTGAGCTATTTTCTCGTAATAAAAGAAAAGAATTTTTTTTTTTTATATCAAATGGATAAGACACAAGTTATTAATTGGATATTTAATTTACCTTTTATGATATATTTACACACACATATATATATATATATATTTTAAATTTATTTGGTTTTTAAGTAAAATTTTTTTTTTTTTTTAATTTTGAAGATATTAAATATACTTATATAAAAGATTTGTATCTTTTTATAATTTTATTTAAATTAATAAATAAAAAAAATATTAAATTAAAATAGACAAAATCGACATGCAAATAAATGGTATATAGGGTTGAAAAGAAAAAAAAAGACATTAAAAAGATTTTTCAATATATAGAAGAAAAGATACCGAAGTTTTTTATTTAAATACTACTAGTTGTAAAATAATGTTAAGTAAATATAACTTAATTTTAATATTTAATATAAACATAATAAAGAAATATATGATTTTGATATTTTTATAACATTTAAAGATAATTCATTTATCTATAATTTTTTTTTATTTACATTTAGAATTAAAATTAAAAATGCACTTTATTATATGGTGCAATAAAATTATGAATTCATTTAAGTCAAACAAATAAGAGAAGAAAAAGAATTGCATTTGATTATATTATTATATTATTATATTATTTAATTATTACCTATATAATTACTTATTATATTGATTTGAATAAATGTTTAATAAAAAAAAAAAAAAAAATTTTTAATCTCTATATATTTTTCACTTGGATAAAACATGTGCAATGAATATATAAAGAAAGAAAAAGAAAAAATTTCTTTTTACATTATTATTGAACATTCGTAATTTAGTAAATGTTTTGTAATATTTTTATAAATACCTATAGTAGTAAACCACTCACATGGGGAAAAAAATAATATATATTTGATCAACAAATTGTGTTATTCTTATATTTTTATACATGGTTCTATGTATTTTAAATTTATAAAAAAGAAAAAGTAGAGAATATGAAAGAGTGAGAAAAGAACAATGAAAGAACCGAAAAAAAAAAAAAAAAAAAATTAAAAAAAAAATAAAAATGAAAATAAATGGAAATATTAAAAAGAAGAAATAAAAAAAAAAAAAAAAAGAAAAATAAAAGAATAAAAAAATAAAAATATAAAAATATAATTAACACATGTAGAATTGAACAAATTTGTAGAATTATTAAATTTTTTCTACATAAAGCACCTGTCTGTCAATTTATGAATATAATATAAAGTGGTAAGGGAAAATAAATATAAAAAAGAGAAGAATAAAAAATATAAATTAATGTTTAAATATGGCATAAATAATAAACACAAATATAAAAATAAACAATTAAAAGAATAAAACATATTTATCAATAAGAAAAATATTCTCATGTAAAAGAAATATTATTTGATGAATAAATTTTGAAATGAAAACAGCATATTACATTATAGGTATTTAAAAATTTTGTGAAGAGATTAATTGATAAAAATACACAAATGAAAAAATAAAATTTAAAATTATAAATAAAAAAAAAAAAAATTGTTTAACTTCTAATTATTTGAAAGAAAAAATAAAAATAAAAAATAAGTTTATAAGCCACATATGTAACAAAAAAGGTAACAATAAAAAAAAAAAAAAAAAAAAAAAAAAAAAATACATAGTAAATTAAAAAAATTATTATCATTTAAATTTTTCTTTTTTTATAAGATAATTAG